ACTCAGCCAGCCCTGCCACCCCCAAAAGGCAGCACAGAGACCAGAGGCCTCTGCACGAGCAGGGCAGCAGAGGATGAAAAGGAAGAACAGCTCCCTACTCACAAGCAGGGGCAAGCAAGAGGGAGGAGAAGCACTTCCGGGAGATGGCCACCGTGCGCCCGTCCGTAGAAGGAAGAACAGAGTGAAGCTGTAGCCACCAGGGGAGCTGGGCCCAGGCTCAGGGGCAGCGGAAGGAGGAGGGGGAGGGGTCTGCCCAGCCCCATATCTCCCCGGCCACTGGACAGCAGCAGCAGCCAGTCCTGCAGGACAGGAAAGAGGCCAGAGACCTTGGCCCACAGTGCACCGCATGCACTTTCCTTTGTGGACAGACACAGAGAAGGTAGGACAGACAACCAAGGGCAGTGAGGGCAGTGAGGGCAGTGAGCGGGCAGGGGTGAGTCAGACAGTGAGTGCCTCAGGCCTCGGCAGGCACTTGACCCTCCCCTCAGCCCAGGAGGTGGGCACTCTGGGTCCTGACTATGCCTGATAAGGATAGTATGATTATCTGTTTGGGTTACAGAGATACACACTCCCTAAGCAAAAAGCAGGCGCTGTTAGAAACGTTTCTCTCAGGTCACAGCAAGAGCCCTGGTCCCTGACTGCAGATGGGCTGGAGAGTAGCTTGGAGGCAGAGCACTGACCTCCCCAGGTTTGAGCCTCAGCACCACAAAAATAAAAAACAAAACAGAAATGTGGAAAGATGTTTGACCTCTAGGCACAGAGAGGAACATGGGTACTGCACCTCTAGCTGCTAATCCCTAGGTGCCACCCTCACGGCCCCATGCTCTCCCATGCTGCCTGAACAACACACAACAGGACCTGGGACCACGACCACCAAAACTAAAGTCCCTACCCTCAAATCTCACCTGCATGCAGCTGCAGGGAAACCCAGACACCAGAGACCACATCCTCTCCACCAGACAGGAATTCATTAATCAGCTGTGGCTCTGGGGAGCAATGAGTAAGTCTCCAACAAGGCTGAGGCAGGAGGTGGCAGGCTCAGGCCCATTCTGGGCAACTCAGTGAGCCAGTCTCAAATTACAAAAGGGCTGAGCTGTAAAGGGCTCAGTACAAAGGGCCTGGGTTCCACTCCCCAAAGGAAAAGCAAAGAAGAACGTGACAGTCCCACCCTAAAGCAGAGGTCTCCACTACAGGTCTCATAGTAGAAAAGACAATGGTGTGTGCCATGGGGACGGGGTGCCCTGCACACGCGTGCAGAGAAGAGCTTCAAAGGAACGCAGGGAGCATGACTCCTCCCTGCAGAGGACAGTCGCCCCATGCCTCTGTGCTGCTGCCTTCCTGCCAGGTGCCTGTGAGCTCAGTTGGGGGTGGAGGAGGGGAAGCAAGAGAGGAGCAGCAGGCCCCACTCACTGCGCACCACAATCCCCACATCCCACAGGACATTCAGATCAGAGCAGACGGTCCAGACCTGATGCCTGGCTCACCTGTCCACTGGCACGGCACTGCCCAGGTGGCTAAGCCCTCGGTGCCTCGGTTTCCCCCATCAGTGGAGATGATAATGAGATGCTGTGTTGTGCGACCCACCCCAGCTTGGCCTTGCATACTGCACATCAGGGGCCAATAAGCCCAGGGCCCAGTGGGCAGGGGCCCCACACCACCCCACTTTCTCCCCACCCCAACCACCATGCGCCTCCCAGGACAGCCAGAGCAGTGATGGCCATGATGCCGGAGTGACACCTGCCAGATATTAAAGCCAGAGGCATAACTAACTCCAGCCAGGAGGAGGGTCAAAGTACACCAGCACCTGAGAATGCAAATCACCTGTCCGGAGCCTTGCAGTGACCTCATTTTACACTTTGTCATGAGTCCTGCGGTCACATTTGGCCCACTCATCTAAGGAGGAAGAAAAGAAGGAGACTCAGCACATTTGAAGCCACAGGAGAGCACCTCTGTGCTTCTGCGAGGATTTGAGATTCCATATTAGATCTGGCTCTCTTGGGGTTCTCCTGGGCTCTGGGAGCAGGACATGAGATGTCCTGTGCTTTCTGGGCAAAATTCATGCACTGGAATCCTCAGGTGCCCGAATAGGACCAGGACCAAGAACAGGACCAGGCTTCTCGGGAGTTTAGTGCTTTGTGGTCCAGACAGCAGACAGCACAGAAACCCACTGGTTCAGCCCAGTGTCAGACTGAGCTGCCTAGGGCGGGGAGGGAGGGGAGCAACAGGCCTGAGCAGGTACCACCATAAGCACTCCATGCTCCATGAAGGTGTGGACTAGAACCCCAGGGCCTGAGCCGGGTAAGGAAAGGGTAGGGGTCTGTCTGATTCTCAGCTCACACCTGGAAAATTCCTCTCTGACCCACACCAGCCAAGGCTCTGAGAATGCAGCGTAAAGATGTAACCTTAGACAGACAGCAGTCAGAGAGGCCAGGGAGCCTCTGAGACCGGCTGAGCCACTACCAGACTTGGGATGCGAGGGTGCGGCCATCGGTCAGCCTCACTACAGGCACAGCGGCTTCTGAGTGCCCACACCTGTCCATCATCAACACAGCAATTTCCTGCCAGGGCCCACAGACAAACTACCAAGCAGCAGAGCAAGAACGAAACCATCTCTCCTCAGTCACTTCTCCTTTCAGCCAGGCCACAAAGAAAACACAAAGAATGACCAAGGTGGCCACACTTACCACATGGCTTGGTCCGAAGGCACTGGCTTGGGTGCAGCTGGGGCCCAAGTTGGGCCCCCATAGGCTGCCCTGGCTCGCAAACCAGTGCCATGTGCAGACACAACTCCTCGGCAGCTCAAAGGAAGATGACGTCCTGCTGGACACCTGGTTTGGGTGCCCACTCTCCAAGCCTGCCTGGTACTTTCTGAGCTGCCTGTTGGGGCAAATCCTGAGGCTACAGCAGCTGCCCAGGACGCACAATGCGTTACGTAACCAGGCAGCCAGGCATCCTATCGGCTCATCTCACCCAGCCACCCCAAACAGCAGTGACGCACCCAAAATGCGATACCTCCCGGCCAGGGTGTAGGGCAGGGCCCGCTGACAGCTGCACTCAGCTCTGCCTGAGTCGAGGTGGAACAGGCGTCCCTGCTGTCCTGGGTTCGCTGGGCAGCGGGAGTGGCTGGGAGGCTGCCTGCCAGTGCTGCCCCAGGACTGTACTAGCAGAGGCTCAGGGCCCACACACATTCCCAGGACAGCACAGGCGCCAGGAGAACACACGCGTTTTCACGTCATGGCCTCTCTGTGTGGCTGCCACCCCCTGGCGTGATGCCCATGGCCCTCAGCCTGAAGGGCACACCCACACTGCGGCTCCCTCTACCCAGCATCTCCTGCTGCCCGCTCTTGCTAGTTGCCCATCCTCTACCATCCCTGGGCCCCCACCCCCACCCCACCTGCACATTCAGAACAAGGGGAACCTGTTTAACAAGCTGGATGTTCCTGGATGGCACCGGCTCAGATGGGCTGGACTCCCAAGGGCGAGGTCACACTCTTGGATGGAGGGGGGCACAGCTGTGACCACCCCTCTACTAGCAGGAGGCCCTGCCCACCCCTAACCTCGGGCAGTGCCCTCCTGTGCCTCCCTGCTCATCATGGCACCAACCCTGGTGCCCGCCTACCTTGATGCTGCCAGCACACCCACCCCTCCAACCAGACACCTCCTAGGGCAGCAGAGAACCTGAGGACCCACGGGCCTGGCAGCAACTCTACTACACAGTGCTCGGTGATTTTAGTTCCAGTTATGAACCTCTGTGATTTAGCCCATTCACCTAGAAACGCACACAGTGTTCATGGCAAGACATATTCACTCAATAAACATTCCCCAAGCATTGGCCACAGGCAGGGCCACCTTAGGAACTGGATCTCAGGGACACATAAGGTCTCAGGGACACAGAAGGTCCTTGCTGTGGGAGGACTTCATACTTTCTGCACACCGGAAAGACAAAACGTAACACAGGGCTGCTCTGAGAATGAAGAGGCTGGACACGGACTGAGGAAGGGTGAGGGTCAAAAGCTGCACCTGATGCAGTGGCACCCAGAGACAGGAAGCAGGGTCTCCAGGCATCTTGGGCAAGGCCACGCAGGGGTTCACAGAGCAGCAATGGAGGCTGAAGCCAGTGTCTGGGGTGCTGGGGGATCCCAGCAGGGCTGCTGGAGCATGTAAGTGGCCAGGACGGCTCAGAAAGACAAGGGGACACAGGGCCACCAGGGCACAGGAAGGGTCCTGAGGGCTGGAGTGGAGTTAAACCCTGGCTTTGTGTGCCAATTCAGCCCCCACCTCATCTGGGCTGGGCTGGGCTGGGCTGGGCACCAGCTGCTGCAGAGCTGGGAGCGCAGCTGAATTCCAGACACGCTCCGAGGACAACAGGACTGACAAGCTGCTGCCGACTGGGAGGCAGAAGGAGATACCACCAGGGTCAAGTCGCCCACAGCGGACCCAGGAGAAAACCAGAGCAAGAAAGCGGGTAAGGAGGGCACAGAGACATGGCCCAGGCCTGCAGGGAAAGTGCATGATGAGGCACCATCGAAGGAGCAAGAGCCCACAGCATACTTTCGGCTAAGGTCAGACTGCACAGGGTACTGGCTCCATGTCTCTGGGTCGCAGGCAGGGGCACAAGTGGAGAGCAGCGTGTGTCCCATCAGGGTTAGTGAGGTATACAAGGCCCCGCCCAGATCGAGGCCCAGGCTGGGGCTGTCCCAGCTCTGTGTGGCCAGGACACTTGGACACTTGACCTGACCCAGGACAACAAGGAGCTGCTAGCAACAGATCTGCATATTTTAAAGAATCACTGGGCATTATGTCAAGCAGTCTTTGTCCTTTGCAGCTACTCAGGAAGTGCTGCCCACATCTCAGACATCAGCGGCTGACACAGCCACAGAAGAGTTACTGGCAGGCCAGGTGCGGGGCACGAAGTTCCCCAAGCCCACAGCCCAGGTTCCTCTGCACTCCGGGGTTCCCCAGTCCCTCTGGTCTCCCTCCCTGGCAGGGCGACCCCGTACCAGTAATGGTGCAGGCATCTCGGTACCCTCTGCAGTCGGCTGCATCATCCACAGCCTCGCTCACGTAGTGTTCCTCGGGGATGCCCGGGCTGCAGGCTAGGACCGCATAGCCACACACCTCCGAAGTGGGCACGGAGCTGGCTGAAGTGTCGTCGTGCAGAGCTGTGGCGTCCAGTTTGGCAGGTTTCAGGGGGAGGTGCCCACTGCCATCGGGGGCCCCGCTGCCGGAGTCCGGGACAGGCAGGCAGACGATCCCCAGGAGGTGTGGGGTGTCTGCAGGGGTGGCTTACGGGGAACCTAGGAACAAGGCAGAGGAACAGGCATGATTACTGGGCCTGTGGAAATAGTCCGGACAAAGTCTAGAAAACATGACACCCATTCCCACAGCAAACCCTAAGAAGCGTCAAGGTTTCTCCAATGCTGTGCCTAGGTTTCACAGACCAAACTACAGGGACGCTGCCTTCCACGAACCAAAGCACCTATTAAAATCCGCTTGAAGTGGCCATAAAGAATCAACCTGCACAGCCACTGCACAGTGTCCTGGGGACACCACTGATGTACCACTATGGGACACGCTCGGCACAAGCAATGCTGGGTACAAGAACTCACAGAAGACACATTTCCCTTACACTCTTCCAGACTGCCAAGAATGCAGACGTGTGCCCACATACACGGAGGGCACAACAGAGGACTCCTCCGGGAAGCTGCTAGAAACTACGGGCTCTGTGGGAGCTCAATCCACTGGGTACTGTGAGCCCAGGACAGCGGGCAAGCCCCGACCCAATGGGTCCCAGGCCACTGTCCCTGCACTCTCCAGGGCCACTGCCAACCCAGCCGCCTGGAAAAGCAGCTAACACCTCCACTTAAACCTGCCTGGGCCCAATGACGGAGGTTGGGCAGGGACAGTGTCCTCAAAGGCCACTGAGCACGAGCTGCAGCCAGCATAGCGCCACACACATCGGGAGGCATCAGGAGCCTTGGGACACAGAGCAGGCAGCCTGCAAGGGTCAGGACACATGTGCTCTCAGGGCAGTGGGAGAGCACCCAGGGCTCCCTTCCTGGCCCAGGAGCCTGGAGTCTGCGCTGCTTCCCGGCTGTTTACCGGTCCCCAGTGTGTAGAGGTACCACACAAACCAGGGCGGTGCTCTAGGCCTTCCATGAGCTCCAGGGGTCCTGGAACAAAACAGTCTGAGGCCCACTGCTCTAGCAAATGACTGGCAAGAAAGTGGGAGAGGGCAGGGGAACATTCAGCGGTGAAGCACAATTCAAACATGCAAGGCCCCCGCACTGGGGGAAGAGGGAGGCTAACAGGTAATTAATCCAACATTTCAGTCTAACCAAACCATAGCTGTGCACCCCCAAGAGTTTCCTCAACAAGACCTTCGGACAGTTCCGCTTGAGTAGTGCTCAGCCCGCCTGCCACACAGTGCAGAAGGAGAGGAAGTGGGTAGCCCTTGTGTCCCCGCAGAAGGCAGTGACGAGCACAGCATGGAGACTGAGCCAGCTCAGCCCTGGGAAGCAGAGGCCCTGGCGGGTGCAGGCCCAATATAAACCAGAATGGGGATCCTGGGGTGAAGCTAAAGGAAGGAGCGTTGCTGGAGCAGCCTTGAGGGGGCAGGTAAGGGCACAGGTGGTGCACGTCGAGCTCTGACCTGTGGTCTAGACGGGGTATGGAGACACTGCCACATTGCCCGTGTGAGTCTGCACCTTGGAGAAGAGATGGTGGAGCCTGAGGCGGTGTGTGGAGCCTAAGGCGAAGCAGCAGAAGTTCCTAAAGCTGGAAAAGCTCACTCACCAGGCTTCCAGAAAGGGGAAACAGGGAGGCCAAGGCAGAAATACAAACAGACACACAGCCGCCCCCAGACAGGACGGCATGGCTGGAGATGTGCACCTCTCGCCCCAAGGACTCCACACCAAGACTCAGCCAGAGCTCCTGAGAGGAACAGCCTCCTCAGCTAGGTAGGATTTAAATCCAAAAGACAAGAATCTCAAAGATCTGATAAACCTGAACTGGGCGATAGAAAAACCCCATTCGCTGCCGGCACCCTCAGTTTCAGAGGCTGGGCAGCCTAAGCTGAGTGTGCCCACACCATGCCCCAAACCAGGGAGTTTGGGATCACTGCACCACCAGCTAAGGAACTTCATAGCTTCCTGCCACACTCAACCTGCACCATAGGGCTTGGGCCTGCCTGCTCCACCCCCACTGATCCTCTGTCAATCCAGGGAACTGGGCAGCCAGAGTTCCAGGAGCTGAGGGCATAGAAGAGGATTTCCAACAGGCCCTGAGGAAGCCTTGGAATATCACCTGAAACATGGAAATACAGGAAAATGACAAAACGAAAGGCCAAAATACAATTTCAAATCTCCAGCCCATCCCAAGAAACCCTAGGAGCTATGTACACAGAAGAAAATATATGCCATACACCTGAAATACCTGACAGAATAGCAACTGAAATAAAGAAGCAACTCTAGGAAGCTTTAAAGGAATTCAAACTAGAAATAACCTCCCAAGTAAAAGAAGAAATGATAAAAGAAATGAAAGAGATGCTGAACATATCTAAAGAAGACACAGTTAAAAAATTGGAGGAACTAAACAAAAAGGTAGAATCCCTGGATGAACAATATAAGAAAAAAACAGAATACATAAAGCAGATGCAAAGAGATATACAGGAAATCAAAAATTCCATTGAAAGTTGTAAAAACAGCCGTAATGAAAGTGAAGATAGAATTTCAGACCTCGAAGACAAGATTGTAGCTAGTGAACAGGACAGGAAAAGATCTTTTAAAAATAACAAGGAATCAAGAAATTAATAATTCAACAGCTGAAAGATGATGCAAAGAAAAACAACCATTGATAGGGATAAATGAAAAAGAAGGGGACAACATAAAGGATGTCAAGAGGATATTTAGAGAAGTAATAGTTGAAAATTTCCCAAACATGAGAATTGAAACTGACATCAGGATCAATGAAGCATATAGAACTCCGAATAGCCATAACCAAAATAAAACTACATCCAGACATATAATAATCACCATCCCAGAAATCCAACATAAGAATAGGAAATTAAAAGCTGTGGAGGATACAAGACAGATCACCTATAAAGGAAAACCTATCAAAATCACAGCAGACTTCTCAGCACAAACAATAAAGTCAAGAAGAGCATGGAGTGAAGTATTTCAGATCCTAAAGGAAAATGATTTCCAACCTAGACTGATGTACCCTGAAAAACTGTCCTTCAAAATCGACGGAGAAATAAGATACTTCCATGGCAAAGAACAGATGAAGAACTTCATGATCACCAAGCCAACCTTGCAAAGAATACTAAGACAGATTAGATACACTTAGGAAAAAATCACCAAGCAAAGCAGACAATTAAACAGAATGGAAAGATAAAGATGCAACAGTAGCAAGATAACATGTCAACAATAAACCAACATATAACAGTATTATGGTTATAACCATAAATGTAAATGGCCTCAATGCACCAATCAAAAGAAACAGACTGGCAGAATGGATCAAGAAACAGCATCCGACCATATGCTGTCTACAAGAAAACCATCTAACCCAAAAAGATACTCACAGACTGAAAGTCAAACGATAGAAAACAATACTTCATGCAACAGGAATCCCAAAAAAAGCGGGGGTAGCTATTCTGTTTGCAGACAATGTGAACTTTAAACCAATAATGATCAGAAGAGATAAAGAAGGTCATTACATACTGGTTAGGGGAAAACTTCAAGAGGAAGAGATAACAATCTTAAATGTATATGCACCAAATTCCAGAGCACCCAGCTATATAAAGCAAGTATTAACAGAAATGAAAAACCAAATTAGCAGTAACACAATTATAACAGGAGACCTTAACACACCATTGATACCAAGGGACAGATCGACCAGACAGAAAATCAGCAAAGTAACAGAACTGAATCACACCTGTGAACAAATGGACTTGATAAACATATACAGAGTGTTCCATCCAACAACATCAGAATACACATTCTTCTTTGTAGTACATGGGACATTCTCTAAAATAGACCATATATTAGCCCACAGAACTTATTTAAATAAATGTAAAAGAGTTGAAATTATCCCATGCATGTTATCAGATCATAGCACCATGAAGTTAGAAATTAATGATAAAAGATACTGCAAAATTCTCACAAACACATGGAAACTGAATAATACACTCTTGAATAATCAGTGGGTCACAAGGGAAATTAAAGAAGAAATTAAACAATACCTACAAGCAAACAAAAATACAAATACAACTTACCAGAATCTGTGGGATGCAATGAAAGCTGTTCTCAGAGGAAAATTTATTGCACTGAGTTCCCACATCAGGAAAACAGTATGAACATAAATAAATAAACTGATTCTACATGTCAAACAACTAGAAAAAGAAGAGCAAGTCAAGCCCAAAGCCAAAAGGGAGAAAATTATAAAAATCAGACCAGAAATCAATACAATAGAGACTAAGAAAACAATCCAAAGAACCAATGAATCAAAGAGTTGGTTCTTTGAAAGAATAAATAAAATTGATAAGCCCCTAGCCAACCTTATCTCAAAAAGGAAGAAAAAGCTCAAATTCATGCAATAAGGAATGAAAAAGGCGAAATCACTACAGACTCTGTAGAAATACAGAAGATCATCAACACCTATTTCAAAAACCTCTACTCTCATAGGTTTGATAATACAGGAGAGATTGACAGATTCCTAGAATCATATGAAGTACCAAAGCTAGGTCAAGAAGATATAAAATTGCTGAATAACCCAATTTCTATTAATGAAATTGACAATGTAATTAAGTCCTTACCTACAAAGAAGAGCGCAGGCCCAGACAGATTCACTGCGGAATTCTACAAGAAATACAAAGAAAACTTAATGCCAACACTCCTCAAACTCTTCAATGAAATTGAAAGGAAAGCAATCCTTCCTAAGTCATTCCTGGAAGCAAATATTACTCTAGTACCAAAACCTGAGAAAGACCCAACTGAAAAAGAGAACTACAGGCCAGTCTCCCTAATGAACACAGATGCAAAAATCCTCAATAAAGTATTGGCAAATAGGATGCAGCAAATCATCAAGAAGATTATACACCATGACCAAGTGGGATTCATCCCAGGCATGCAGGGGTGGTTGAACATATGTAAATCAATAAATGTAATCCACCATATCAATAAAGCCAAAAGTAAGAATCACATGATCATTTCTATAGATGCAGAAAAAGCTTTTGATAAGGTCCAACATTCATTCATGATAAGAACCTTACAGAAAATTGGAATAGA